TAAAAGATGGTACTTGTTGTTACCCTGTCTGGCGCTCGGCATTAAGGGGTTAAAACAAGGACTGGTCGGCTTGTTTATTCATGTTTATTAAACTGCGGCATGGTATCTCAGTTGTCCGGACTAGTACAAGCAGCCACTAGACATCGACATGGTTTTTCAAGAATAATGTTTTCAGTCTTGAATGAACGTTGCTTAGTGTTGAAAATTCCTTGATGGAGAGAAGTAGATTGTCCTAAAAAGAGGTGTTGTGAATGAATAACTTCTGTGGCTAAACGCATATGGTGAGTTTCTGGCTGGTCGGAGGCGTCTAGATAGTACATATTAATAATGGCCTATCAACAAATATTGCTGCGTGCTGTGATAACTTAGCAAACATGCTTAGTAGGTGCATGTCAAGTCGTTCAAACAGAGCAATCTTTATCCACCCACTCCACGTAAATGACAAATAGGTACACAGTGTAACGGATAATGATTGCGCTAATCACATCCAGACACCGTCTCACACACAGGATGAAATAGCAACGGCCAGATCTAAACTGGTAATGAAACACGAAAGGAGGGCATAATCCTCTCCTATAGAGGGCGATCTATTATAACGATCCACTGATACGAAAATAAGTTTCTAGAAAACCATTTACCGAAGTAAGTAATTGTCACAGAAGAGAGCCATAAAGGATGTTACACCTGAAATAAAAACTATGTGCCATTATAAACGGCGAATTACCCAATTAACAGACAGTATATTTTAGTAACATGCCGCCGGCCCATAATACATTAATATTGCATGATAAATCACGCATGCTGGAGTAAAGTAGGTGTATATAAAAGGGTAACAGGTATTTCTCAATTTGTAGGATTGAGTTAAGAAAACAGCTATGTTATGATGGACAAGATTATCACCTGTTTGCATTAGCTGGGTGAATTTATTAGAGAAGGAGATTCAGTGTAATATGGCGAGGGTATTTTTTCTTACAGGGACATGTCGTTCACATTGAATACAACACATGGTATTCATCTTAAAGATAGTTACAGTTTTTTGCACAAACAGAAATCGTAGAACCGTTTGTTTGTTTGTTGTTTAACGCCGCACTCACGATATTCCAGCTATATGACGGCGGTCTGTAAATAAATAAGTTAGTTACACAATTTGGGCTTAAATGGTCTCTGATGATACGTGTTAAACGGATACACCATTTATATAATGTTATATTTACATCACATTCGATGCACAACGTAGAAAATATTTCTCTTCTCGCCAACTAACGAATGAAATTCATAACTTTTTTTCAATAATATTTTTTTTTAATCCATAGCGTCATAACGGTAGACTGAAAACAGTTCCTGATTAAAGTGTTATTTCACTCGATTTTATGTATTCAGATAAAAACACCATTTCGTCACTTAATACGTCATCAAAATACAATATTACAGCTATATGACGGCGGTCTGTAAATAATCAAGTCTAGACCAGACAATCCAGTGATTGACATCATGAACATCGATCCACGCAATTGGGATACGATGACATGCATCAACCAAGTCAGCGAGCCTGACCACCCGATCCCGTTAGTCCCACCCGATCCCACAAGTCTCATTCATGGCACCACGACCGCCTAGTGGTAAAGCGAAAGGTCCGGGGTTCGATCCCCGCCCGCGTCATACCAAAATACGTTTAAAGATGGTACTTGTTGTTACCCTGTTTGGCGCTCGGTATTAAGGGGCTAAAACAAGGCCTGGTCGGCTCGGAGTTAGTATACTGTGTCTAAGTCGGGTATTCCTGTTAAACTGCGGCATGGTATCTCAGTGGGCTAGAACTATAAATCGGCATCAGTCCGGACTAGTACAGGCAGCCACACACACACACACATGCATGTCGATATAAAAGTGCAATAATCTTGGACGCGACGTTAAACCTCATTTCACCTCACCTCGCCTTATACCGACTGACGTGTATTTCAACATAACACCCACTGTTACACTTATACCGACTGACGTGTATTCTTACATAACACCCACTGTTACACAAACGCTGACTGTAACTCTGTCAGCGGGACAATGTGAGCGCACCACTGTGAGAGAGGTCACGAAGTAACCTTCTCCCACAGAAACGTGAGAGCTTTGATTGTACAACTGGCGCCGAGTGACCCACGGGGATTCAGTTAGACGTCCCTGACTGGAATCAATGCCTAATCTTAGTACACTCAATGTGCAATCAATGCATCGTTCATTCTCCCTTTGGACTTGACAATTTGGGATAAATGAGTCCCAAACGTTGGTTGTCCTGAACAGAAAAGAACGTGGGTTTATTCATAAGAAGACTTGGGCAGAGCCCCTTGTCTTATAACACAAGGTAAAGAGAGTGTGGGGTTTGAACACAGTATCATTACATATTTTCATTCATATACTCAGCAATGTTATTTAGAAATGCACTTTAGTGAGCGCAACAACTTGGCTTCATTTGGATAGTGTCTGTGGATATGGGTAGTATCTGTGGGTCAAGATAGTGCATGTTGGTCAGGATAGTGTATGCGAGTCAGGATAGTGAATGCAAGTCAGGATATTGTCTGTAGGCCTGGGTAGTGTATGTTGGCCAGGGTAGTGTATGTTGGTCGGGATAGTGTATGCGAGTCTCGATAGTGTATGCGAGTCAAGATAGTGTATGCAAGTCAGGATAGTATCTGTGGATATGGGTAGTGTATGTTGGTCAGGATAGTGTATGCGAGTCAGGATAGTATCTGTGGATATGGGTAGTGTCTGTGAGTCAGGATAGTGTGTATGGTGTCAGGATAGTGTATGCGAGTCAGGATAGTGTATGCGAGTCAGGATAGTATCTGTGGATATGGGAAGTGTCTGGGTCAGGATAGTGTATGTTGTCAGGATAGTGTATGCGAGTCAGGATAGTATCTGTGGATATGGGTAGTGTATGCATGTTGGCCAGGGTAGTGTATGTTGGTCAGGATAGTGAATGCGAGTGAGGATTCTGTCTGCAGGTCTTGGTAGTGTATTTTGGCCAGGATAGTGTATGTTGGCCAGGATAGTGTATGCTAGTCAGGATAGTGTATGCATATCAGGATAGTATCTGTGGATATGGGTAGAGTCTGTGGGTCAGGATAGGGTATGTTGTCAGGATAGTGTATGCGAGTCAGGATAGTATCTGTGGATATGGGTAGTGTCTGTGGGTCAGGATAGTGTATGTTGTCAGGATAGTGTATGCGAGTCAGGGTAGTGTCTGTGGGTCAGGGTAGTCTCTGTGGGTAGGGTCTGTCACTTACGCACTCATTCATTCACTCACTCACTCACTCATCAACTCACTCAGAATGGAACCGTTGGGGTTCCAAGTAAGGATTGGTGCCAACTAACCTTCGATTTTCGTGCAACCCAAATACTGCGGATAGGGCGTAGAACCACACTTGCTTGATCCCTATGACAGCCATGGCTGTAGGGTGTTTAGAGTCCACGTGCCTCACATCTTCATTTCGATCGCTTCTTCAAACATTCCCTGAAACACTCTCTCATGCCAGAATGCGACACGTGATTCGCATACGGATCACCAGCCGAACGGTCAACGTATTTCCTGGTTATCAGAGGACCATTCGTGACCAACTCGTGTTATTCCAGGACAAGCCTAATAGGGACTCGTGCCTCTCTCATGGCCATTTTGGGTATAGTTTTAAATGCAAGACATATGTAAAATCAAAAATTATTCCTGAGATATTCTTTGACCTTTCCTACGCGCATGCGAGTGGTGACGAAAGATCAGAGGAAGCCGGGCCGCATTTAAACGCTTGCATTCATTTGACGTGGATATTTTAAGACGCTTCACAAACTACACGCGTAATTATTTCGGCGAAGGCTGCTATTTGGTATAAAAAAGTTAAGTTGGTATATATTAGTTTGTTGATGTCTGTCTGTCGTGACCGCCTCCGTGGTCTAGTGGTAGAGCGTCCACCCGGATAGCGGAAGGTCCTGGGTTCTATTCCCGACCGCGTCATACCAAAATACGTTTAAAGATGATACTTGTTGTTACCCTGTCTGGCGTTCGGCATTAAGGGGCGTAAACAAGGACTGGTCGGCTCGGAGTCAGTATACTGTGTCTGAGTGGGGTATTCATGTTAAACTGCGGCATGGTATCTCAGTGGGCTAGAACTATAAATCGGCATCAGTCCGGACTAGTACAAGCAGCCACACGTCGCTATAGAAGTGCAATAATCTTGGACGCGACGTTAAACCCCATTTCACCTCACCTCACCTGTCTGTCGTATTGTGTGTCTATGACATGACAGTAGAATTCTGTCTAGACATAGGTCAACTTTATTTTTTTAGAGAACGGACCTAAATATTCAGGTCCCTGGTTAGAGCGAAAAAAAACCATAATAATATAACATATTATTGTGAAGCCATGTCTTACAATGCGACCCAACATGACCATATAAACAATGTATGAGAGTGTATCATGACTTAAAGTAAATGCGCTACCATGTCACTATATTTTCGTATCCATCACTTGATTTTCTGATTTGTTTACTCGCGCCGTCGTATGTCAAGATAACTGCTGAGTGAGTGAGTATGGTTTTACGCCGCTTTTAGCAATATTCCAGCAATATCACGGCGGGGGACACCAGAAATGGGCTTCACACATTGTACCCATGTCGGGAATCGAACTCGGGTCTTCGGCGTGACGAGCGAACGCTTTAACCACAAGACTACCCTACCGCCCCAGAGAACTGCTGAGCGTGGCAGGCAACAAACACATACTTTATTACTCACAGTGTGTGAGTGGCGGGCGCTACCGGTAGCAGGACATGTTCACACTTTTCGCGGACACCTGGTGTCATAACTGATTTTCAGTGATCCATTTGTTTCGTGTTTGTTTTGCCTTTTACGCCCAATGGAATCTGTGTTAGCGGATAATCGAGTGAAGTTTTTCCCTGGCGTTGTCGTGGTCACGGATGATGTTTTTTTAAAAAAGTATGCTGACAATGTTGTTTTTTTATTTTCAGAGAGGTGACTTACTAAAAAGACAGTCCGAGACACCAGACGATGGACAACTTGGTAAGTACCACAACAAATAAACACACACATTCACGCACGCGCGCGCGCACACACACACACACACAAACCGAAGCTGCACAAAATTCTGACGCATACCAGGAAAATGAGCGCAGGCATTGTAGAGAAAAAAATAGTTTATGAGAATCTCTTTTTTAAGTTTGTTACACAATATGGGCTTAAATGGTCTCTGATGATACGTGTTAAACGGATACACCATACATATGCGACGTTTAGATCACATTCGATGCACAATGTAGAAGATATTTCTCTTCTTGCCAGCTAACGAATGAAAATCAGAACTTTTTAAATATTTTTTTTTTTAAATCGATAGCGTCATAACGGTAGGCTGAAGGTTCCTGATTAAAGCCTTATTTCACTCGATGAGATTATGAGATATCGATTTTATGTATTCAGATAAAAACATCATTTCGTCACTTAATACGTGATCAAAATATATGTATCCACGCAACGTCATAGCCAATTTTAATAATTGAAAACAGCACATGTAATTCAGACGTATTATAATAGGTTATCCTGGGTATTCTGGTAGACATACAGGTCCCCAGCAACCAATGGTTGTCGTAAGAGCCGACTGAATGTACCGGGTGGTCAGGTTGATGCAGGTCATCGTATCCCAACTGCGTGTGTCGATGCTATATGATGTTAATCTCTTGCGGCCAGACCAGCATAGGTTGCTGGAGACCTATATTCTTACCCGGAAACCCCGGGGCCCGTATTCTTGAAATAATTTCTAAAACTGATTGAGAGCGGTGGGGTAGCAAAGTGGTTAAGTGTTCGCTCGTCGCGCCGAAGGCCCGAGTTCGATTCCTAACATGTGAAGCCCATTTCTGGTGTCCCCCGCCGTTATATTGCTGGAATATTACTAACTCTCCACTCACCTACTCACCAACACACAAAACTCATCCACTCACTCACTCACTAAACCACTCATCCACCCACCAACATACCCACCCAACCAACCACTCACAACACCCACTCATCCGACCACTCATCGACCCACTCACCCACCCACTCATCCACCCACTCACCAAACCACCCACCCAACACTCAAAACACCCACTCACTCGTCCACCCACTCACCCAACCACTCACAACACCCACTCACTCACCCATTCATCCACCCATTCACCCAACCACACACAACATCCACTCACTCACCCAACCACTCACAACACCCACAAACTCACCCACTCACCCAACCACTCACAACACCCACTCACTCACCCACCCATTCACCCAACCACTCACAACACCCACAAACTCACCCACTCACCCAACCACTCACAACACCCACTCACTCACCCACTCACTCACCCACCCATTCACCCAACAACTCACAACACCCACTCACTCACCCATTCATCCACCCATTCACCAAACCACCCACCCAAACACTCACAACACCCACCCATTCACCGAACCGCCCACTCAACCACTCACAACACCCACTCATCCACCCACTCAACAAACCACCCGGCCAACCACTCGCAACACCCACTCACTCGCCCCATCATCCACCCACTCACCCAACCACTCACAACGCCCATGTATCAACCCACTCACCAAACCACCCACTTAACCACTCACAACACCCACTCATCCACCCACTCATCCACCCACTCATCCATCCACTCACCCAACCACCCACCCAACCGGTCATCCACCCACCCACTCACCCAACCACCCACCCAACCACTCACAACACCCACTCACCCATCCACTCATCCACCCCCTCATCCACCCACTCACCCAACCACTTACAACACCCACCTACCCACCCATTCACTCAACTACTCACCAATCACTCACCAAAACCACTCACTCACTCACTCACTCATTGTATATTATTTCTGTGCCAGGTTGCATCAGCATGAAACGGAATGCCGGCGAGTACTTCTACGTGTCGGACGGGTCCAGTGATGTGTGCGGGATGTACATGCTCGGACAGCCGGACACCGTCCTGCAAATTGAGTTCACCCAGTTCACCATCGAATGTGAAGCAGGGGGTCTTATGGCGGTGAGTACCATTGGTCGACATTCGTCCCCATTCGTGTTTTTTCCCTAACAAGCCCTGTGACAAGAGCAAAAAGGGACGAGATATGACGAATGAAAGACCAAGACAAAATACCCCCGAGTGCCGAGGATGGTTATCATGTTGCTTTTGCAACCTTAAAATCATCAGTAGTGTACATGGCCATTGATATATACACACCTTCAAAAGAAACGCGAACCACCGAAACACATCAAAAAGTATGTACGTTAAGAAGGGATGCTTCCAATGTACACCACTTACTGACAAAACTAATAATCAGTCAGGTGTTACCACAGAGTGTCTTTATTCTTATCACAGTTTGCTGCACGTGATTTCCAAACTTTACATACTAATCCTGCACGAGACAAATGGTGCATCGCGAGTCATGGATCTATGACGTCACATGTGATGCGTTCACGAGCATCGGTTCATACAACATAGGCCAGTATGTTCATTTGTGCGTCGAACCAATCTATTACCTTTTGAATATGAGCAATTCTTCATATATTAATGAACATATGTGGTATTAGCGTTTCGTTTGTGTGTGGACCCTTGAAGATCCGTGATAGAATAGGTCTTCAGCAACCCATGCTTGCCGTAAAAGACGACTATGCTTGTCGTCAGAGGCGACTAACGGGATCGGGTGGTCAGGCTCGCTGACTTGGTTGATGCATGTCATCGTATCCCTATTGCGTAGATCGAAGCTCATGATGTCAATCACTGGATTGTCTGGTCCAGACTCGAATATTTACAGACCGCCGTCATACAGCTGGAATATTGCTGAGTGCGGCGTTAAACAACAAACAATTCTTTTGTCGGTGAGTATATGTTTAGAACGCGGAAGCACAACTCCATCACGTCCGCTCTGTTGCTGTATCGATGCCATTGTGACTCCTCCTCCTCATGTTTGTGCAAATGTCTTGTAATAGGACACCGTCGTGGATTGTTTGACATCAACCAATGCAAATTGGAAAAGAATATGAATATTGGTAACATAATAGTCTTAGCCGTTGTCAAAGACTGACAGTAGCAAGGACACCCGAAGGCATTTGATTGGACGTATAAAAACCACATGGCGTCGTTTTTATTAAATAAATAAATCAGTTGCCAAATATAACATGATTTATTCACCAGCACTGAGCGTTTAGCCGACTTTCATATTTCGGTTTGAAAACATATCGCTGTTATTATTCATAATTAATGTGTTGACCGAGTCATTGCAATGGAGGCGCCACGGGTGGCCCAGCTGAGGCGCCACATTTCGCTGTGTAGTGTTGCGTCCCTAAGACGTGCCGGGATCCTAGGTTGCCCGAATCCCTAAGGTGGAAGTTTACATGGATTCGCCCTGATTATAATTCCAAGTCAGAATATATTTTCTTAAATGTAAACCAAATTATCAAATCGGGCAAAAAAACCATTATCTTATCCTACCCTGCCGTGCTGGTAAAATCTAAGACCCGAATCACTTCTGGCTTTCCTCCCACATCAAGCTGACACGCGGCTATATAACTGTAATACTATTCAAAGTGGCGTCAAAACAAAGGCACACACTTACCCACACGCCTCGTTCAAATCGACAGTGTATGGAAATATAAGACGACTGTGATATTGTGTCCATCTTTTCCCAGATATGTGATACTATTACTCGCACTGAAATGGAGAGACGTACAATGTCACGTTGATCTGGCTCAAAACCCAGACTACATTTCTTCACGTTTTTTTGGCGAAGACCCCAGTACCTTTTCCATACCTAACTGGTGACCTAAGTGTTGTATACTGCAGCTGGTGACCTAAATGTTGTATACTGCAGCTGGTGACCTAAGTGTTGTATACTGCAGCTGGTGACCTAAGTGTTGTATACTGCAGCTGGTGACCTAAGTGTTGTATACTGCAGCTGGTGACCTAAGTGTTGTATACTGCAGCTGGTGACCTAAGTGTTGTATACTGCAGCTGGTGACCTAAGTGTTGTATACTGCAGCTGGTGACCTAAGTGTTGTATACTGCAGCTGGTGACCTAAGTGTTGTATACTGCAGCTGGTGACCTAAGTGTTGTATACTGCAGCTGGTGACCTAAGTGTTGTATACTGCAGCTGGTGACCTAAGTGTTGTATGCTGCAGCTGGTGACCTAAGTGTTGTACGCTGCAGCTGGTGACCTAAGTGTTGTACACTGCAGCTGGTGACCTAAGCGTTGTATACTGCAGCTGGTGACCTAAGTGTTGTATACTGCAGCTGGTGACCTAAGTGTTGTATACTGCAGCTGGTGACCTAAGTGTTGTATACTGCAGCTGGAGACCTAAGTGTTGTATAAATTGCAGCTGCTGACCTAAGTGTTGTGTATTGCAGCTGGTGACCTAAGCGTTGCATACTGCAGCTGGTGACCTAAGTGTTGTATGCTGCAGCGGGTGACCTAAGTGTTGTATACTGCAGCTGGTGACCTGAGTGTTGTATATAGCAGTTGCTGACCTAAGCGTTGTATACTGCAGCTGGTGACCTAAGTGTTGTATACTGCAGCTGGTGACCTAAGTGTTGTATGCTGCAGCTGGTGACCTAACTGTTGTATACTGCAGCTGGTGACCTAAGTGTTGTACACTGCAGCTGGTGACCTAAGTGTTGTACACTGCAGCTGGTGACCTAAGTGTTTTGTATTGCAGCTGGTGGACGGTTGGGAGCTGCAGTCGGAGTTCTTCCCTAACATTGAGGACACCGGGGACAGTTTCGAGGCCCGCTACAAGACGTTCTGTGGGGTCAACTCGCCGGCGGAAGTGTACGTTGCGTCGCAGAACGTGGCTCTAATCCAGTTCCGGGTCCCCGAGGCAGGCCAAGGCTTCCGCGTCCGTGTCAGCTACCTCCACAACCCTCAACGTCAGTGACCCCGTCATCTACATTTGTGTCGAGCAATCCTACTGTTTATATACTACTTTGAAGTATTTACTACAATATAGAGATGATGATGGTGATAATGATGATGATGATGATGATGATGGTTATTATTATTATTATTATTATTATATATTAAAATTAAAAAAGGCAGCGTAGAGGGTTTGGGTAGTCATGGCAGTCAGGCTGGTTATTATTATTGTAATTATTATTATTATTATTGCTATTGCAAGGAGGAATAGTAGTAGCAGTAGTAGTGGTGGTATGCGTTGTAGATATGTCAAAATACCATTACTATCATTGTTATTATTACAGCGTGTAACGTGATGTTGATGCCGAGTGCTGGGGTGGTGACGCTCAAGAACTACGGCGAGAGACGCAACTGCACCGCCTCGATCATCTACCCCGAGAACATCCTCATGCTGTCCGTCGACATCGGCGTCACGTCCCGCGGTGCCACGGTCGCCACCGAGAGCGGCCTGTCAGTCAGAGTGAGTCCCCGCCGACACCACCTCTTCATGACAAAACACGTGCCCAATCACCGGCACCAGTCTCATGCATGGCACCGCGACCGCCTAGGAGTAGAGCATCTGCCCGGAGACCGGAAGGTCCGGGTTTCGATCCCCGACCGCGTCATACCAATAGACATTATACGATGGTACTTGTTGTTACCCTGCCTGGCGCTCGGTATTAAGGGGCAAAAACATGGTCGGCGCGTAGTCAATATATTGTGTCTGAGTGGAGTATTCATGTTCAACTGCAGCATTGTATCTCAGTGGGCTAGCACTATAAATCGGCATCAGTCCGGACTAGTACAAGCAGCCACACA